GAAGAAAAACATTTATAACTGACTCATGTCCTGAATTTTATTGCAAATTCCCATAGGAGAAAACACGATAAAAGAAAAGCACTAAGAAGTAGACATTGGTTTTCAAATTAAATTGACTCTGGTCAGTGATTCTTATTCAAAAGAGTTTTTTACAATGTTCCCTAGATATTAAGAGTAGAACCTAAATTAAGTAAATGGGTAATTTGTGGATTTCTTTCTTTTTTCTCCAAATCAGCCACATTTTAGTGACCTTATTTACTGTCAAGAAAAATGCAACCCTTTAACTGAAATGCAACCCTGATAACTGAAATGTCCTCCCAGAATGCCTGTCTTCTATTGGTATGTGGTCTGTGAAGATGTTCAGGACAGAGATTACATACCTGTAATTCCAGCACCCTGGGAGGCTGAGGCAAAAGGACCACAAATTTGAGCCAAGGTTGGGCAACTTAGAGACCCAGCAATGTCCCTGGTCCCATGGAGGTTATACTTCTAGGGGAAGGGGCCAGCCAGCAGGAAGACAGACAGATCATAAACACCAATTAAGTCAATAAACAAACAAATAGACCAACTAAATTCCAATGTGAGCAGTGCTGTGAAGAACTAAAATGGAATGTTTGCTAGAGAAAATTCTTTCAGTTCTCAGGTTTCACTTTTTCACCCCAGGGAATTTGTACAAGGTTATTCCTCCTCTCAGGTTTCCTCCCATATCTTCCTGAATCATCATTTTTCCTTCAGGTCTCAACTAATAATAGCTTCTCTTAGCTAAAGGGTCTTTTCACATACTCCCATTTGTACACACATATCCTTTGTAATGTTCCTTACATTGGTAACTGTTTGTTCAGCATCTATCATGCCACAGAGCACAAAGTCTTCTTGTGTGTGGTCTTACTAATATATCCCTGTCTACCAGTATATTCTTGAAATGAATACATATTACACTTTGAAATATGAAATATGAAATGAAAACATATTACACTTTGTAATATGTTCCTTAAGGTCACTTGATCATGAAGGGGTAAAAATCATTTGAAGATCACATATAAGTAAAATCACATGGTAAGGAATTCAATTAGGCTGAAGAGAAACTAAGTGATCAGTGAATGTTACAAGGTTCTAGAATGACACTGAATGTCATCGTGGCCTAAACTGTTGTGAGATGAAGTAAATCACTTCCTGCCTCTGCCTCCTGAGTGCTGGGATTACAGACGTACTCCACCATGCCCAGCCATTTCTTAGATATTGGAAGCAAGCAGCTCCATGCTTATAGAAGGGTAGGAGAATATGTGGAAGACAAAAGTGGATATGTGAACCATGGAAGCATTAAGTTGCTAGAGTAGATGCTCTCCTGTATGAGGGTGAAATTTAAAAATGAAATTGGTTCTCCTCTTCCAATATCAAGTAATATATGTAGCACTGTAAAATATTCACGACAATACAGAAAGGGGTAAAGAAAAAAGTTAACATGCCTAATACTGCCATCATATTTTATTTGCATGTATATTCCCCTACATGTTTCTCTAGGTGTATTTACATATTATTTAATTTAAAAAATAATCATACATGGTTTTGTAAATTGTTTTCTTTCATTAAAATATTTTTTATTTTTTATTTATTTTGTCTTTTTGACACAGGGTCTCACTATGCAGTTGAGGCTGGACTTGAGCTCACTTTGTAGCCCAGGCTGGTCTCCAACTCTCAATGATCCTCCTGCCTCAGCCTCCCCAGTGCTGAGATTACAGGCATGCGCCACCATGCCCAGCTCTTTCATTAAAATATGTGAACAAATGCTACACATTTTAATGGATATGTAGTAGTCCCTCATGTAGACTTATTATATTTAATTAATTATTTTTAAGTGGTCCTCTTTCCTGATGTTTATCAGCCAAGTATTTTCTCCATGTTTTTGAGATAGGGTCTCGCTACATAGTTCGAGCTGGCCTTGAACTCATTATGTATCACAGAACTGCAAAATCAATAAATAAATCTTTATTTAAAACGTATTTCACAGTACTGGGAATTGAAAAATAAATTAATAAAATAAAATAAATGCTGTTATTAAATTTTTGCTATAAACATGGGTTTAAATCCTGGGAACAACTCAAATGCCCATCAACTGAGGAACGGATAAAGAAGATGTATTATTTTTATACAATGGAGTATTACTCAGTTATAAATAAAGATATATTCAAGGCTTTTACAGGTAAATGGATGCAACTAGAGACCATACTCATAAGTGAAATAAATCAGACCCACATGTGCAAACAATGAATTGTTTCCCTAGTGTAAGAACCTGAAATAGTAAACAAAATCTGAAAGGTACAATAGGTACTGTCAAAGAGAAAGACACTGCTCAAAAGGAAAGAACAACTGGGATAGGGGAAAGGAGAAAAGAAAGAAAGGAGAACTATATATGTATAGATAGATAGATAGATAGATAGATAGATAAGATAACTAACAAAATTGTACTATGAATTTCTATTGGTTTACTGAAAAGAATAGTTAATGCCTAATTGTTTGATCAATTTTGTATGCCTATATCTGGCAATCTGAACAACTACTTTGAAGATAACAATATTCAATATAACAACCATTGGTAATTTCCTATCATCCAGTCTTGAAATTGTGTATCATTTTTATTGTTTTTTAAATTCTCTTTAAAATCAAAAATAAGTTGTTTGCAGTACCGGGTATTGAGTGTAGGACTTTCACACTGAGCTGTATCCCCAATCCTGAGACAAGTTCTCCCTAAGTCTCTGAGTTGCCCAGCCCAGGCTCAAACTTGCCCAGGCTGGGCTCGAACTCGTGATCCTCCTGCTTCAGGCTCCCAGAGGGCTAGGATTATAGCAATGTGCCACTAGCTTAAAATTTTTAATTAACTCAATACTAGTCATACATACCTGAGTGACTTTCCCCTTGTCTTTAAATCTTAATTTAAAAAATCAATTTACTGTTTGTAGTGTAGTGTAGGTGTATGCAACGCTCTGGATTCACTCTCCAGCACCAAATAAATAATACCAATTTAATACTTTTTATGTACTTGTGATATTTAGTCATATGTGTTTACTGTATATGCAGTATTTTTTCTTTATATCTTTTCCCCCATCCCTCTACCCTCCCTTCAACCCCTCTTCCTCTCCTAATTTACAAAACCTTTTTTCATTTATTCCTTCTTTTTCTATCATTTTTTTTCTTTTCCCTTCCTTTCTGCCTCCTCCCTCCCTAGTTCCCCTTCCCATTTGAACAGTTTCTTCCTATTTCACAGTATCTATTATACATTTTGGGCTGGACATAGTGGCTCAGGCCTATAATCCCAGCACTCAGGAGGCTGAGGCAGGAGGATCGCTGCGAGTTCTAGGCCAGCCTGGGCTACAAAGTGAGCTCAAGGCCAGCCTGAGCTGCATAGAGAGACCCAGTCTCAAAAAGACAAAAAAAAAAGTCCTTCTGCATCCCCAAGGCTATAGAAATAGTCACCTATCTTTCCTACTTCTATGATTTTATATTTCACATTAAGCTACATATGCCTCAAGAGTATGTCAAGGAGTGGTTACTTAGTTACTGCCCTAATCTTTTTTTTTTCCGCCATAATCTTAATATCAGGTTTAGTGGCAGGGTGCAGATTGCTGAAGACTTCATTTTACACATTGCAGGTAAACATTCTAATATATTATCTTGAAAAGTAATACAAAAACTGAGTAGAGACAGACCACCACTTCTTCATTACATTGTCAAAAATAACAATATCAATGTGCTGGGAAGATAAGCAAGATAGAAGAGATACTGTTTTAACTGCTCAGAATGAAGTTTGGCTTTTCTTCCAGGCTCGTGAAACTCCACCATACTGAGGCAGGAATTCTTCCCCAAAATATGAAGGTCTATTATGCAGTCGGTAGGGATACAACAGTGAACAAAACAAAAAGGTTTACTTCTAAAAGATTATGTAAACAAACACTACATTTCAACAAGCAGGAAAACTAAGCGGGTAAGAGCGGGGAAAATTTCTCTGGGAAGATGAGAATTACGAGGCTTGGATGATGCAAGTAAAGATATCAAAGGAAAATATTCCAGTTTAGGCTAAATATTTGAGGTGGGAACTAGTTTTGTTGGAAAAACAGTAGGAAAGTCACCCTAGCTGGCTTGTTATCAGGAAACTGGAGGGAAAAACACAGAAGCGCCCTAGAAAACTAGGTTATTTTAACTGGGGCAATGGGAGTTGGATGTTGTGTGGTGCAACACCACCATTTCTTCAGGAATTACCATCTAAGAGAGGCTTCTTTAACAGCCTTTTAAGGAATTCCGCCGCTATCGGATTTTCCCACCCTCTGACAATCGCCTCCTTTTTTCAAGTACTTCAGAGTTATCACTTCAAAGAGACTTTCTCATCACTTTGAAACCTTGCAATTCCTGTTTCAGACTGCAGGGTGCTGTCCCATCCTCCTTCCCCACTTTCTCTTTTTAGCACTTAACAACTAATCTGATATAATTTTTTTAAAAAATTAATATCCCTCCCCAGTAGATGTCAAGATCCACGATCACTGGGTTTTTATTTTTTATTCTTGGTGTAATTTTCTCAGCATCTGCAACGGTGCTTGACCTACAATTGGCGCTCAATAAATATGTATGTTGAATAAAATGTAAAACGCTCTATGAACTGCTGGGGACTTGGCAGGTTGGACCGATATCACATTGCTCGCTCTCTGAAAAAGCATTCACGCAGCCAGGAGGTGACGTTTTTCAGTTTTCAAAATGGGAAAGAGAAGGTTCCCACAATTCTCAGAACGCGAATTTCTCGCCACAATTTAAAATGGCGGAGGAGGGTGGGGCCTGTCACATGGTGGGCGTCACAGCGGCTGTCCTTTTCCAAACCGACGCCCTCCTCGGCGCGTCGTCGGCTGCACCCCCCCTCGGCCCACCAGGCCTTTGCGAGGAATCGGCCGGGATTGGCTAGCCGGCTGGGAACGGGGCTGCGGCGCCCGGACGCGGCATCATCACTTCCTGTTGTGGGCCGTCGTTTCCGGTCGCTGCTTGGTAACAATGGGGAAGGTAATGGCTGCCTGAGCAACGTCTGGGAGCAGACGCTGGGGTAGAGGCGGGTCTCAGCCAGCCAGTCACCGGAGGGAGCTTGGAAGCGGTGGCAGCGAGGCGCGGAAGAGCCTCAGCGGACACGGCCGGACTAACCGAGTCAGTCCTGACCTTAAAACTGAGTAAGTGAGGGAACGGTCGGGGCGACAGGAAGAGCGCGGAGCCGCGGCTGCCGCGTTCTCTCAAGATGGCCCGAGGAACGCGTCGTGGCAGAGGCTCAGCGCCGCCCTCGGACCCCAGGCCGGTTGCTGCGGGGGGCCTCCGTGGCGCAGTCGCTGCTGCCATTTTAGTTCTGTGGTAGAGCCGACCGAGTGTTCGGAGAAGGGGAAGGAGGCGGGGAGCCGCGGGTCCGCCCCGCGGCCGGGCGAGCTGAAGGCCGGGCGCTCCGGAGCCCTCCGAATGTAGCGGGGGAGGTTGGAGGCCGGGCCCGAGGCGTGGGGCTCGGAGCGTGCCTCGGCTTTGACTGTCCTCGGCTGCGGGGAGGCTTCCGCGGCGAGCCTGGCTGCGGGGAGAATCGGGCTGCTCCGAGCGAGACGCTAGGAATGCTTGGCCCTCCGGGATTTTCCCAGGAGTTCCCGAGTCCCATCCGGGCCCTCGCACGGGGCCCAGGCGGTCGGGCGACCCCGGGGCCGCGATGACATCTTCCCTGAGGGGCTGAGGCCGATGTGGCTTACCCCTTCGCTCACGTAACCCTGCTCACGCTTCGCCAGATACGGCTGGAAGGGTCCCCCCAAAAGAGAGGGAGAGGCCGTTGTAAGTTGGTTGTTTTCGCCTGGCTAAGGGTGGGAATTAGGCCAGATTATTTCCAAAATAATTTCCGTTCCATCCGCCAACAACTCAACCCCTCCCTCCGCCAAAAAAAAAAAAAAAACAGCCTAAGGGTCTTGGCTTCTGCGGGCGGTACCTGCCACGTACGCCATAGCTTAGTAACTAGTATTAACCGGTTGGGCTTCTGCTTCCTGAACACTCAGTCCCTTTTTCCCTTATGCTGATTAATTTCAAGATGGAGGAGACAGCCACGTTCCTTCCCTAGACAGTTTCACCATACTTATTCCACAGGTTAGTCCGGGAATCTGAGGCCTAGCAGACTTGTTATTTAGGTCAGTTTTTCGTGGAGGAGCCAGAAGAAGCGTTTCTGTCAGATTGTCATCCACCATTTGCAAGCTCCCACGGTAATTTTTTGCTGCAGATAAGGAGTCTGCATTTCCTGAATAAAAATTAACCGCAGTGCTTTTGGGTGATTGAAGAGAGGAAGAAATAATAAATGTAATTTTTTCTTTCGCTCTCCACGATTACAGACAAAATAATTGCTTAAATCGCCCCGTCAGATATATTATGTCAGGCCTGTAGTACTTAAGAGCTGGCATGCACAATTACAGGCCGGACCCCTACTCAAATCAGTTTTCTAAACTAAGAAAATACAGATTACTACCGAGCCTTTTTAGAAAACCCGATTTTAGGATAATCTTCTCTTACTCAGAATGTCACGAACATGGACGTTGATGGTTTTGTTGATTTTTAATTCTTTAGTCTCTGCCTTTAATGTGCCAAGTAAGTACTTGAAAGTGACTATCAGAACCCGAAAATAAAAATAATTGCTGATCTGATAAGGAAAAGGACTACTTTAAGTAGAAATATATAAAAAGGTACATTACCTCTCGGCCTTTAAAGGAAATCTTTTATAGAACTTCTGGTTCCCTCTGACCTTTTTGTTCTCCCCAAATACTCGACTGATTTTTAGATTGGGTTATAGGGTGGGGATGTGAGAGAGAGAGAGAGAAAGAGAGAGAGAGAAAGAGAGAGAGAGAGTGTGTGTGTGTGTAACTAAAATACATAGGATGTGTTTTTTAAGGGGATATCTTATTTCAAAGAAAATGTGTATCTTATGAAAGAGGAAGAATAATGGATTCTTTTTTTTTCCTAGAGCAGAGTGTGAAGAAAACTAAAATCCAGTTTATTGTATTTCAATACTATGTCATAACAGTCAGGTAATTTATTTTTTGTTGCGTCTCCTCATGATTTATGTGTAGAATGCATGTTTTTAAATATTTATTGTACTGTTTTACAGGCCCTTTGGTTGAATGGGCTCATTGATAAATATTAGTTGGTGTTGGGCAGTCTTCGTGATGAGAATGGGTACTACTTTTCACTGGGAATTCAAAGGGTAATGTTTTTCAGTACCTGGAACTCACCGTGCTTTATCTGTGGATGTTACTTTTTAAAAATAATAACTGAACTTTACCAATACACGTGTAGAACAGAAAGAACAAAAAAATATTTGCTGCCATAAATCATCGCAATGACGGGTAGAATAAATAAAAAAGCCTTTACTTGGAGAATAACTGAAATAGTCATAGAATATGATCTTACATACTTTGTTTGATATTTAATTTTTTTGCCTTCAACATTCTAAAAATCAAAATAGGTGTATAATACTGTAATAGTTTCAATTTTTGTCATGCCGTTTTTAAGGTACCACATAAATATATTGCTCTAACCGAGACAATTGTAAAGTTAAAACGAACATTGTTGATTCCTGAACAACTGCAAAGTTGGATTATCCCAGGCAAACTGGGATGGATAGTTAGCCTAAATTAGTAACTAATTTCTATTGAAGGCTTAAGGACTAGGCCTTGTGGTTTACATACATTTTATAATCTTCACAACAGTGGCTCATGAGGATGTTATTATTTTACAGAGAAAGCTGAGAATCAGAAGAGAGTAAGTAATTTGTCCTCAGTTAAAAAGCTAGTAAATGGTGGAACCCTCATTTTTATCCCCCGTCTAACATTGAAGTCACCAAACTTCAATACGTCTGGACTGTTTTACTTCCCAGTTATTTTTGAAGTGAAATGAAAATGAAAAGTAGTAAATCTATAGCTTATGTTGCATCAAAAACTCCCACTGACTCTTAAAAGTAATCTGCTTTATGAAGCAGGTGAGAGTTATCCAGCAATTACCCCTCCCCTTTTTGTTTGTTACTATTCCTGTTTTAACTGTTAGTGCTCTTGATATATTTAATGAAGTTAATTTAAAATCAGAAATAATTTTAAGAAATACTAATGAAATAGCTAGGAATGTTAAGGTGGTGTGTATCTTTTAGGTTAGTGAACATGTGAAGCCTTAACTAGTACAGGTCAAATGAGGCATCTATATTTATGGATTTATGTGTACATTACTTTTTTCATAGCCCTGGTGGACTGGAAAATAAAAAGGATCACTGATCAGCTTCTGGTTCCCTAGATTTATCATAAAGTGAATAACAAATTAGAAGTTGAAAGTTTTGTCAAATCAGACCAATAAGGTGCTAGAATTTTGGGCCGGTGCCTAATATAACCCTTGTGGCCCACTGATTTAAAAAAGCATACAGTTTACACAATACTTTAGAAGTTTTGATAGCCAGTATAAGATAACAGTAAAATTTTGTGTCCACTTTTTCCATTATTTTTTTCTCAACTTTGAATAGGGAAGTTTTTCAGATAATTAAATAGTTCATTTTTCCTTTCATCAATTGAGATATACAGTGGTGCCTCAGTTCACAAGCTTAATTTGGTCTATGATTTTTGAAAAGATGGCCATATTTGTGTGGGAAAGATAGCCCAATGTTGTATTTGTCACCTGATGTAGAGTTTGCGAACAAAAACAAACTTTTGTCAAATGCTTGTTTGTGAGCCAAATTGTTTGCAAACAACAGTATTTGTGAACAAGGTAGCACTGTATTTTAAAATATCTAGATTTTGGGAATATATTTTTCTTTTTGTCTTTTTTTTTTTTTTTGTCTTTTTGAGGCAGGGTCTCACTATGCAGTTTAGGCTGGCCTTCAGCTCACTTTTTATTCTCGTTTTGAGACAGGGTCTTGCTATGCAGTTCAGGCTGGCCTTGAACTCACTTTGTAGCCCAGGCTGGCCTCGAACTTGAAACAATCCTCCTGCCTCAGCCTCCCGAGTGCTGGGATTACGGGCATGCACCACCATGCCCAGCGAGAATATATTTTTCTTGCAGTACTGAGCTACATCTCCAGTTTTCTTTTTACATGGAGAATTGAACTCAGGGCTTGGCGCTTGCCAGGCAGGTGCTGTGCTGCTGAGCTACATTCCCGGCCCTCCAACTCATTTTTTATTTTGAGACAGGTTCTCACCTAGGTCCCTAAGTTTCCCAGGCTATGCTCAAACTTTTGTTTTTGTTTTTCTCCGGTACCGGGAATCGAACTCACAACGTTGCGCTTGCCAGGCAGGCTCTGTGCCTCTGAGCTAAATCTCCAGTCCCAGGCTGTGCTCAAACTTACAGTCCTCTTGCCTCTGCCTTCCAGAGTGGGAATTTGTAGTTTTCCTCTTAAAATACATAGTTGGCAATTTTGCTCTTAAGATTTTATCATAATGCTTTAACTGAGGATTTTAATCTCATTAGTCATAATAGTACCTACATATGTTTGAGACAAATATCAGTAGAAAGTGCCTGGTGTGTGTATAGATTCATAGACCTCTTACAGTAATTATGTTGTAGATATTAGGATTATATAGAAAATATTTTCTTTTTTGGTCATGATTTTGATTTCTAAAATTGACTACTTTTTAAAAAGTTGATTTATAGGGGTAGGAAATCTTATGTTCATTTAAAATAGTACTTTAGTTACTGGTAAACACCAGCACTGCCAGTAATTAGTGATTTTACATTAATATTTTTGGGAATACTCAAGGTTAAACTCAGGGTCTTCACACTGAGCTACATTCCTGGCCCTTTTATTTTTTGAGACATGGTCTTGTTAAGTTGCCCAGGCTGGGCTCAAAGTTGTGATCTTCCTGCCTTGGCTGCCCAGAGTGCTGGGATTATAAACATGTGCCAACCGTGCCTGGCTATATTAATAACTCTTTAAAATAAACACATGAGTGTTTTGTGTTTTTTAGTTTTATTTAAATTCTTGAGAATAATGAGAGAACAAAGTTAAAATTGAGTGTATGGATAAGACTGAATTCTAATTTAGTGACATAGCTCTGTAATAAAACAACAGGAAGTGGGTAATTGAAGATTAAATTCACTGTTTAAAATACTTGAGTGAGATGAAATGTCATAATGGTTTCCTTTGCAGGTAGTCACTGGGGATTTAATCCAGTTCCTTCAAAGGAGGTACATCACCAACCCCTTGTTAATTTTATTTTTAATTTTGAGATGAGATCTTGATAAGTCAGTAAGTTGCTCAGGCTGTAGTCAAATTTACAGTCCTGCCACCATGCTTTGCTATAATGGCTTTTTAAAAATTAACTTGATCTTTTACATTGGTAGCATGGCATGGTCTTCTTTTGATTTACTTTACTGGAATTGATATTTTTGTTAGTTTTGAGGCAAGGTCTCCCATATAATCCAGGTTGCCTTGAGCTGTAGATCCTCCTTCTTCAGTCTTCCAGTGCTGGGATTACAGGTGTTCACCATGGTGTCTAACACGGGAGTTCTTTTTTTGTTTTTTGTTTTGTTTTGTTTTTGGTTTTTTTTGGTTTTTCTCCAGTACTGGGAACCGAACTCACGACCTTGTGCTTGCCAGGCAGGCGCTTTTGCCGCTGAGCTAAATCCCCAGCCCCCTTTTTTTTTGTTTTTTGAGACAGGGTCTCACTATGCAGTTCAGGCTGGCCTTGAGCTCACTTTGTAGCCCAGGCTGGCCTCAAACTCTCAACGATCCTCCTGCCTCGGCCTCCCAAGTGCTGGGATTACAGGTGTGCACCACCACACCCAGTTTAACACTGGAGTTCTTTTTTCTCCGGTACCGGGAACCGAACTCATGACCTTGCGCTTGCCAGGCAGGCGCTTTTGCCGCTGAGCTAAATCCCCAGCCCCACACTGGAGTTCTTAATAGTCTTTTATTTTAGCTGTTTTAAAAGGTTTTAGAAGGTAGTCCAAATTGTTTCTGACCTACAAGTCAGTAGACTTCCTGCCAAGAAATTAGACACATGAGAGACATTCCCTAGTGTTTTTGTTTGTTTGTTTGTTTTCTGAAAGCGGTAAAAGGTAGAATATAGGTGAAGCTAAGCCACCACTACCATTCAGATAATCTATAATCTCTCATTCCTATGGTAGTATCAGCAGTAGTAGATTCCTTTAGGCCCACTGTTCAATATTATTAACAAATTGTGTGGTTGGTTAAAGTTTACAGTCAACCCTGCCTAATATTTTTTAATAATATCTTATATTTCATTTTTAAAATATAAAGGGAGACAGACATAACAAGCAAAATGGCAGTAAGCAAAGCTTCTAAAATCACATCCTGGTTATTTATGTTACTAAGCTTTACATTTGTGATAATACTGTAATGTGACCTAGATTGTGTCTTGTTCACAGTCACAGATTCATATAACTGGAGAGTATCTTGTAAATGGTTTAGTCTGTTACTGTAATATTGATGTAGATCCTGAGGCACAAGAGATTAGATGAATTGGCTAAATTTACATAGGTTACAGCGAACACTAGAATTAAATATCTCTCCCTTTCACAGAGCTGAATTCTTTCCCTCTGCTACCTATGTACAGAATAAAAAAGTTACCTGGTTGTTGTGAACCATTAATGTGTATATTGGAAATACCATAAAAATTTAATTGACTGTTCTATCTAGGAAGAATTGGCAGTGGTTCTGTCTATATATATATATGCTTGGTACTTTTCCTTCTGACCTCAAATTCAGTAATTCTTTGTGTTTTAATTGTTTAAAAACTGGATAAAGTATTTTTCATTTTAGTGATGGTATTATTGAGCTAACATTCTATTGCTGAAGATCCTATACCATTAAATACAGTCTCACTGTGTAGTTCAGACTGTCCTTGAATTCAGGATCCTCTTGTCTCAGCCTCCTGAGTGTGGAATTACAGTCATGGGTCACCATATCTAGCCTCTTCATAAAGCTGTGTTAGAAACAAAGTGATGCTTGTCTTTTTCTTTTTTAGTATAATATGTCTTTGTGTTGATACTCATGATTTTTTAAGCAGTTGGCATGTCCTGCGTAATC